GTCCCACCGAAACAACAATGACGGCTGCAACCAAAAAATAGCCAGGCGTTGTGGCGGGCACCTGTGGTCCCAGCTACTTGGGAGACTGAGGCAGGAGACTTGCTTGAGCCCAGGAGTTCCAGGTTGCTGTGAGTTGTGATGCCATAGCACTCTATCCAGGGGGATAGCTTGAGGCTCTGTCTCAAAAAAAAAAAACAAAAAAAGAGAGACACTGTATAGTCATAAGTTGTTTCAAGACCAACCAAAAATAGATAGGAATGGTAAGCTAATTTGGATTTTGTGCTTGCCAATATTGAGAAAGATAGTACCACAATAAGAAAAATAAGGAAAATAATACTGGATTATTATCCACCTGCTTCCTTGCCTTCTGTTATAAGGCTGAGTTTAGAAGGAAAATAATGACCTGTACTCCTTCTTAGATATATATAATTTGAGAGGCTGGCAGGAAAGCTAAGTGTATGTCAAACATTTGGAAAAGAGAACTGAAGCTCACTCGGGAATAAGCCTAATTGTCATTGTCATTGTCATTTACTTAGACTCATTCATGTTTAACACATGTAGCTAGCTGGTTATTTCCTTTACCTCCAAATCCTGTTATAATCCTTACTACACAAACCTATGTATCAACTTTATAAAAAGTTCAAATACATGAGAAAAACAAAAGATAATCTGAAAATGTGTTAGTGGTCTCCACATTGTTAAAAAATCACCAAAAATGATTCTATAATCTTTACCATTTTAAAAATGTAAAGCTTTAATGTACACAGTTACCATTCAATTAAAAAAAAAAAAATGTAAAACCTTGGGTGGCTCTCAAAGGAGTAGGGCACCGGCCCCATATACCAGAGGTGGTGGGTTCAAACCCGGCTCTGGCCAAAAAAAAAAAAAAGGTAGAACCTTTCTAAACATTTCTACATATGTTCTCACCTAACATTTGAGAACAAAAATGTGCAGTGTTTGGCAACTTCATTGTAAAATGTTTAGGGTGGGGCAGAGCCTGTGGCTCAGTGAGTAGAGCACTACCAAACCCATATACCGAGGGTGGTGGGTTGGAACCCAGCCCCAGCCAAACTGCAACAAAAAAATAGCCAGGCGTTGTGGCAGGCGCCTGTAGTCCCAGCTACTTGGGAGGCGGAGGCAAGAATATCCTTGGAATCATATAGTATGTAGCCTTTAC